TAACACCCTCCTCACGCAGTGTACACAAGCTGTGAATTTCCAGATTGTTTTATTTTATTTATATGTATATAATGTACATAACTCACCCACTCGCTGCACATAATGTCCTCCTTGTATATAAAGTTCGGTCTGTCACAGTGGAGGAGCGTATCAGGTCACGTTTCACTGCGTGTTACACCTGTATAACCGTGCACGCCACAAATAAAGAATCTTGAATTAGCCTAAACCTGCATTCTTTATGATGGCCAGCAGGGGGAGACTCCACTGTTGCACGCAGGCGTATGGTTGCAAAGATTGATTACATTTTTTATTTCTCTCCGATATCCGATCCAGTAATTTACGTCAGTATCGGACCGATACCGATACGTAATATCGGATCGGTCCATCTCTAGTTCAAACCAGAGTACTCATATTTCAACTGAAGAGTTAAAAAAAGCAGACTCGGTACTCAAACAGTGACAAAATAAAAATCTGAATATTCTTCAGAGGTAAAAATCAAGCAGCAAACAAACATAAATAACAAACACAAGACTGCAAATACATGAAGAACAAACAAACAGAACTGCTGTTCCTGAAGAGGCTGAAACCTGCTCATGTACAAACCAGTATTGGAAACATTTCATGTCTGCATTTGGAAAATGATCTCCAAAATCACCACCAACAAAAAATACTAATGTCCAAACTTTTTGTACCGAGCTGCACATGTTTCTGACACAACGAGGTGAATATTTGTGTAACTCTAAATCCTAAATGATGGAGACGAGACAGATGTGGACAATCCTGGTGACAGCATCTACACACAAACACTGTTCATTATCATCTGTTACCATCACAGCAAAGACACTCAGTGGTGCGACACAGGTGATGCACAAACCTGCTTCACTGTCTAAACACACGTAAGTTCAAACAATAATGTCAGATTTGGCTACTGTTCAAATGTGCAGCTCAGTTTTCTCCAAACAAACCACAGTAATGTTACAGGTTCCCAAAACACTCTTATCACAATCACATGGAAAACCAGAAAGTGTCCACACGGGCGTCCACACAGTGTCCTCAAAGCGCACTGTGCGCTGTCAGTGCTGTGTGCTGCACAACAACATTCAATATTTAGTATTTACTGTAATGTACACTTAGCTAGATTAACACGATGGTCGTGTGTTTATCATGTTGTTCTTTTTTCTCTCACTCTCCCTCTCTTTCTCCCAGCCATGTCTGTCCCGTCTGTAACAGCTGAAAATCAAATCAAATAAATAACAACAAAGGTCGATGAAATGGACCCATACGGCGAGGCCGTGATGATCCACTTGGTAAAGTAAATCCGTCGGGTATCTTTGTTGGACAGACATCAATTCTGACGCCTAAAGAACCAAACGGGACAAAAAAGCCTTTTATCATGCCTCCCTGTGTCGATCTTCATTGTGCAGCACCTCTGTCGACATTCGTTGTTTTAAATGTGCTATAAAAACACATTGACTTTGACTATGATGGCAGAGCTTACAGCAGAATACGTGTGTGATATTTAACTGATGTCTGTTCCAGCGACTCATCAGAACTTTGATTTTTGCTGCTGTTACAGGACAAAGTGCCTGAAACCCTGGAGAGAAACACCTGTGAAGCAAAAACATCTGTTTGTGCATCCGTGCAGCCTCTTCTGCTGATTCAGTTCACACTTGTTGCCAGATAGTGTGAGAAATGAAGAAGATTCATCAAACTGCAAAGAGTTTTGGAAGGAAATGCAGATACATCGGTATTTAAAGGAAAAAGCTGAAAACTGTAATAAACAGGCTCCAGAAAACCTTCCAGCTGTGTGTTGGTGCAACCAAAGAAAATTTGAGATCACAGCAGTGTATCCTCTGGTGCATCGTGCATGCAAGACTTATAAAAGCACCATTCATCTTTTTCAGGTCAATTCAGCAAGACACCAACCCACAGTCCAACAACACAGCGCTGCACAGCTTCCTGGTTAGAAGCCAGGTTGCAGAGCGGCGGTGGAGAACTCGGGCTTTCAGCTTCACGTGGAAACAGGAAACACCTGCACACGCGTGTGCTCCAGTCAGAAACACTGTCAGAGGAACACGCAATAGAGGGAAGTACAAAGAAGGCAATGTTGTAGAAACCTGGTGAATTATTATTTTTATTTCGTGTGCTCGCAGTAGGAATATGTTTATTGTGAAGATACTCCACCACGTTCAAACGCAGATACATCTCAAAACCTCGACATTCATGTCTGACATCGTCCAGCTGAGTCTGTGGACGTTACATCACGTGTGGGCTGATCACAGTTCGTTTTACTCACCGACGACTTTAAACTGAACAACTCTGTTGTGTTCGGGTTGCTATGGTGACCTAATGGCAGCCACGCTCAAAACAATGAAAAGAGTTCATTAAACCTCAGCATCGGCTGCTCACTGACGTCCTCTGCTCACAGGTCAGACCTGCTCAAAGATGTCATCAGCTGTCTAAACCTGACAAAAGGAAACAACAGGAGCGTTGTGCTGCGGCTGTGTTACATGCAGAGGAAACACAGACGTGTCCAAAGCTGCAGAAACACGTCGGCTGCATCAGGTTCAACACAGCGTCAAACATCTTTCTAAACTTGCCTCATTCACACAAACAAACACTTTTCTTCTGTGGAAGTGCTTTCTCTCTGACACGGGCGGATGCATCGGGGAGCAACGGGGGTTAGTCCCTTGCCCAAGGGTATTTGGCATGCAGACTGGAGCAGACGGGGATCGAACCACCGACCTTCCAGTCAGTAGGTGACCTGCTCTGCCAGGAGGGACACAGGGTGGCTGTGCTGAGCAGATAACCAGCAGGTCAGTGGCTTCCCAGCAGCTCACCACAGAATTATGTCCAAGCAAAGGTTTTTCACCTGAACTCTGCAGGCTTCACTGGCTTTCTGATCTAACCTCGCGCAGCAGCCCGTCAAGGCCTGACCTTTCTGAGGGTTTGACATCAGCAGTATGTGTCATCTTCAGGAAGGTCGTGATCTTATTGCAGCTGTGAAGTGAAGCTGACGATGGGCAGAGCAAAAAGATGCAGACTGGAATTTATTTAGAAAACAAACATGTTTCAGGTTTTTGTTTAGATTGTTCAAAACAAACAGGTTAATATGACTTCTGTGAATACAGCCTCGACCTACTGAAAACTGTCCAGCTTTCTCTTCAGATCACCAAATGAAGCAGTGACGAATGTTTCCAAACACCAGTCCAGTCTGTGGTGGAGCTCCTGTACACACTCCATGAACCAGGCTGGCTCAGCTGTGTGCTGGGTGGATGATAGCCTCGACCTCCAAGAAGGATCAACAGAAGTGCAGAGGGGGCAGTGGTGTGAGCTCGGTCAGTTTTCAGTCAGTGATAGTGCCAAAGCTGCTTGCAGCGCTGCCTCTTCATCGATGCTGTAGTCCTGAGCAAACACAGAAAGCACCGATTACTGTACGAATGCATCTGCCTAACGAGCTTTTGTTTAGACGCTCTGTGATTCAGATCGTTGAACTGTCAGGATTTGTTTGGACCCACATCTGAGCCTTACAGTCTGAATTTCTCCAAAGACACATTTCTTCATTTTGTTGTCTTATAAATGATCATGTTTTACTTTTCTTTCAGTTTCTGTCCACCTGCACACTCTGCAGCAACAGCTTCACTTCAATTTGATCACAAGGTGCCGATTCAGTTTATTAATACAGCCCCAAATCAAACCAGCAGTTGCCTCTGGGCGCTTTAGGTGCCATCCACCGATTGGTCAAAAAGTACGGGGCCATGCACACATACGTACTTTGGCAGCTCCGCCCTCTAACTTGGTTTGTCACTTCATGACGGCATACTGTGGTTCCTACATCCTTCCACTTTGCAATAACATGACTTACAGCTGATAGTGGATGTGTGTGTCTGTCTGTGGATGTCACTGAATGACCTGTTTACACGTCCATTCGTTCACAGGTAACAGCAGAATACGTTGCTTCGTGTGGAAATAGGCCTAAAATGACTTGAATTCAAAAATGAATATGTGCAGCCCAATACTTTTATCCACAGAGTCCAGATTGTAGTAGGATGTGTCTACAAAGGTTGGCCTGAGTAAACTGCAGTGTTGGAGCTTTATAAAGCTTTATGCATTTACACATTCAGATTATGATGGGTGCAGATTCTGGGTCTTTGCATGGACGCTTTAGTATTCTTGTCTTTAAGAACTGGTCAATAATCAATCTGTCACCAACTGATGTGGAATCACACTGATGAGACATGATGTTGTAGTATGTAAACTGAATGAGACAGCATATAAATATATATACAGCATGAAATGACTAGAATGATCCTGAGAATACAATTCAAAGATCCGACCCTGGAAGGAGCAGAAACAGTATAATTCAACTGATCTGATGATGTCATCATTATGATTTCATCTGGTGTTCAGCTTTATTAAAACATCCACATTCCCCTTTCAGCCCACAGTAAAGGTAAAAACCTTTGTATTGTTAGCATATCACAGATCTGACCCAGTTAGTCACCAAGTGCACCGATTACAGAGTCTGACCTGCGGTTCGTATTTGACCTGCGAGGCCACGCTGCCAACCCCGCCTTCAGTGGAAGTGGGATCGACATTCAGACTGAAAGCAGTCAGAGCTGGGCGAGGCCCCCTGACACAGACATCCTGTACCTGGTCTGGTTAATATTATTACAGAATACTTACAATCGGCTAAAAGCACATGTTTCTGATAATGTTGTTATATAGTTGTTATATAGTCGTTATATAGTCGTTATATATTTGTTATATAGTCGTTACATAGTCGTTACATAGTCGTTATATATTTGTTATATAGTCGTTACATAGTCGTTACATAGCCGTTATATATTTGTTATATAGTCGTTACATAGTCGTTACATAGCCGTTACATATTTGTTATATAGTCGTTACATAGTCGTTACATAGTCGTTACATAGTCGTTACATAGTCGTTATATGGTTGAGGATAATGTAGTGAAACTAAAATTATCATGTTTCCAAACTGCTCGCAAACACAGATCAGAATTTCTGCACTTGTGTGTTTGAACAAAGGATCTTTTCTTGTCATTTCTAAAGAACAATGGTTCCTCTGGACTTACAACAAACGTGTCATATGAGAACTTGTGTCTGTGGAGAAGATGCTGAAGAAAGTTGGAGCTCTTATAACTGGGGTCTCCCCACGGCATGGCTGAGCACACTGGACACACCTGCAGGGACGAGCACACAGCCATTAAAGGACACACACATCACAGGTGCAGCAGGCAGGAAGCTGTGGATGTAAAACAACGAGATGAGTGTGTGTG